GGACCTGAGATGTGTTTAACCTGGCAATATTTGTATCATGAAAATAATTTTCCATTTTAATTGATGATTGAATTTGGTGTTTTTATTAACGAATATTTTGAGGCTGGGGAATAAAAATTGCTGTTTTTTCTGTAATGAAAATCAAGGTGAACTATCTTTGAAAGATAGTAGCTGGAAATATTGAGTGATAAAAATGTCATCACAGCTGCCAGTTTGGATAAGCTAATCAGACTGGACTCACTTTCTCAAGAATTCAGAATTTATAAAAAAAGAAGCAATGAAACAGAAAATTTTAACCTTCTGCAGGGTAATCATTTCCCCGAGATATCTGGTCAAATACGTAGCAAAATTTTATTTTAAGCACAAATTATGCATGTCATGTGACTGGTGACCCTCAGTGTATGAGTCCTATAATGTCCAATTTAGTGAATCAGTAACACATTTATCGACTAGGCCCTAATATTTTTGTTGACGCTAATTGATAGCAGTATCCAAACATATAAATTCATGGGGTCATTCAACTGTGACATTGCTTACATGAAGGCAGGCGTGAGGCACAGGTGATCAGAACACAAGTTACAACAATCTACCTATGTACCTTGCTTGCACTGCATTTTTCAGCGATAAAATGTCGATGTAATTGAAGTATTTGAAAAAGTAAGACATAAGTAAGGTTATATCAACAAGTTTGTTATTACTGGCTTTCAGTTTTCCTGAGACAAATGTTGAAAAGCTTTAATGGTAGCCATTGAATAACCTGAATAATCCTCTCATTATCAGTGCAGCAGATGGGAAGTGTGTTTATCATTCATGTTACTGATTTTGCTGCCATAACTATAAAAGCACTTTCATTTCCAAACCATTTATGCTATCAGTAGCAGAGTCGAAACCATTTCTCAAAGAAAGTCATACATGATCTTTTTAAATGAATAACTTCAAACTGATAAATAAAATTGATCACTACATCACCATTAGATAAGAGAGACAATTTCTTTACATGTAATCAGTTTATAAAAATGTTACCATTAAGTTTTCGCGCAATCAAATACTTCATAATTTTAAAAAAATGATTTTCTCTTTAATGTATTATAATTTGATCATTGGTTTAGCCCAATTTAATTGAAATTAAGATTTTCAAATTGCCTAAATATATATATATAGGGTAGAAATATTGATGAAATACAACATTTGTAGTGTTGACTGCATTTATTTATATTATATAGATAAATTTGAAATGAAGAAAAGTGAAATTCTCAAAATGTTATCTTAATTTGATTTATTTTACAACTGATTTGTATTAAATGAAATTAACTAATACAATTTTAACAGATAAAATATTTGACCTTCAAGTTTTGATATTTTGACTAAACAGATATTTAGATTTGACTCTGAATTATTCCAGAGATGATAGTGTCATTGACTCTTGAGATTTTTATCCAGCTCTTGGATCCTAGTTTGAAAATTTTTAAGTAAAAGGGGAGCTATCTATGTGAGTAGATCAGTGCATGTTAAGAGTTAAGAGTAACAAACATGATATTTACCAGAACATTTCATAATCAATCCACTCAAAGTATACACACAAACTTCGATGGTTCTTTGCAAAATACTATTGACGTATACAGTTGAATCCATTTACAACTTATTAAGGTCAAAATATAGGTTGCAGTGACATAATTCTGTTATATGTTATACACCATATTCTCAAGATGAATCCTCTTACAAATTTTGATGGCTTTTTACAACATCACATTGCATGTCACAGTACTGTCAGTATATTCAATGTTTTACATGTGTTATACAATATCATCATTGTATAAACAATGTTTTGGAATAAGACTTACAAACCTGTTTTTCTATCTTCCAAGCTAATTTTTTAACTGTTAGGGATGTAAATATGAAAAGTGTAAAGCTATACTTACCAATGTAAAGTGAATGTCCAGTGTGTTGTCAGGCTAACAAGACATGTTAGTGTTAAGTGTATGTTCAATGCTTGGTCAAGCTAACAAGACATGTTAGTGTTAAGTTCATGTTCAATGATTGGTCAAGCTAACAAGACATGTTAGTGTTAAGTATATGTTGAGTGTTTTGGTCAAGCTAACAAGACATGTTAGTGTTAAGTATATGTTGAGTGTTTTGGTCAAGCTAACAAGACACATCAATGTGAAGTGCATGTCCACTGTCCAGTGAGTGGTCACATCATTATGCTAACAGGTGTATGGTCAGTGTGTTTTGTTGACCTATGCAGACACATCAGTATAAGAGTGTGTCCTTTGTCTGCGGTCAAGACACATCAGTAAATGGAGAAAGATGTTTGTCTGAAATGACCTTTCAATTACCTGAGGGATGAAATGTAAGGAGATAACAAGGATGATTTTTGTCTGTCAAAGGGGGACAACATTGTCTGAGTTACATCCTTGGAAGGTTTGTGTGTGATGATTTGTGAGAGGCTGCTGATGTAATTAATTTATATGGAGAAACTATCAGTGTGGCGTGATGTGTCTGTCTGCAGTCGGCTGTCAATAATGTTTGCAGCTAGTGATCCATGTGATCCGATGGTCACTGATTCCTCCTTTCCAACAGTAATTGTGTAACAGTCCATCTATTTCTGTGTCAGAAGGTGTATATCAATTAGTCTGCTTAATTTGTACAAAATTACATAATAAGCCATTCATGTAGAACCAGTGATGAAAGGTTAGTTACAACACTGATAATAAAATGGAACGAATGTGACACGTTTACAGGTAATGGTGTATTTCCTGGTGGATATTTAGTAGTTAATAATCTGTTACAGGGTTCTGTTTACTGGTGAAGTTTTGGGGCTGATAATGGACCCCTTGTGTAATATTTTATTGTAATTTGCGAGATTTGCAATTTCTGCAATTCATTCCTGAAAGTTTGCATTTCTAATGGTTAAAATTGGTGGCAAAAACCTATGGCCACTTGCTAACAGAAGAGGTTTCTTTGTATTTTGAGATTCCATTTCAGGTCAGAATGACAACGGTCTGTCTTTATGTTACTGTAAAACATGCTTAATTTTGCTCAATATTATTTTAGATGCTTGTCAAAATTTCTTAACATGCCATATTTTGGTATTGCAGTGTCTATTTGTCCATTGTAAACTTTTATTTGTCTGCAGATCTTCTCACAGTTTTCAACTGATCTTTTTTAAAGGCTTAATCACCATGACTTCAAGTTGTGTTTTCCTGAATGCAAGATTGATTCAACTGTATTTGGAAGTGTTACTGCCTTTGTTTTCATAATATTAATCTTGTCTGGATATTTTCTCTTTTTCAATTCTCAATCTTTTTTTTATCAAATTTGGTAGACTTAATCATCATTTTCATTTCCTGAAGGGCAGTATGATTTGAGTATATTTGTAAGAGTTACTGCCCTTTGTTGTTTTCGTAGTTTTAATTTTCTCTTCATAATGTTAATATTGTCCAGAGATTGTCCAACTAGAGCCATCATCTTTCAGTGTTAAATAGTACTAAAATATGACAATTGCTATTGTAATGCAGTGGACATTGAAAATGAGATTGCTTATTAGGTTAAAAAGTCAATGGTCAAGAACATTTTGTTACTTTAAATAGAAATTTGGTGTTTATCTTGTACACAAATTGGAGTTTCCTTAAGCTTATTAAAGTTCAATTTCATGCAGAACTTGATTGAACTTTCTTACTGGAAGTGCTTGTTTGAGATAGCTTTTCAAGCCAGAAAGTCAATGATTAAGGTGACTTTTAAGTAGAAAATGTTTTTTTCATTTGATAGACTAAGCTCCCTAAAGCAAAACTGCATCTATGTAATTTGTGCAGACTATTTCCATATCATAAATGCCTGTTAGGGATTGTTTTTCAGGTTTGAAACTCAACATCAAGGGCACTTTCAGTGAATAAAATTGAAATTTCATTGTTTCAGATAATCTTTAACATTAGTGATACATTCTCTTTGGAATTCTTGTTCATATAAATTCAGCATTCCTAAATACAGATTTGCAGAAAAAAGTAAATTCCAGAGATTACAAAAAAGTTGAAATAAATTCATAAGCAAAGCATCAATTTCTATTAATAAAAAAAAATCCTAATGAATCAGTATTCTTTTATTCCTGAATACATTATGAACATGCAACATTTGTGTTGAATCAATTCAATATGACATTGTTTTGAGCTTGCAGGGTTTATGAGCAAGATTGAAATGTAGAAATGTCATCACCATGGTGATACTCTTAAGTTAGAGCTGATTATATACTTGGACTAGAAATATGGTAGATCATGGCAATGATGACACCTTTCTTGAAGGATTTTACTGGTTCAGATGTTAAAATTCTTTCTATTTTACAATGGCTTTGCGAAAGGAAACTGATGTATGTGTTGTGTAATACATAATTTAGTTATATTCACCAAAAACAAAATTCTGGATGTGTCTGTTGTGAAATTGAATTTTTTGATAATTATGACCGACCAAAATTTTAACATAAGTTGTAAATATCCAATAATTTATCTGACAGGTAAAAACAACAACCTGTGCATTCTGTGTATTTCTTAACTTCCGTCATTTTAAATATATTAGGAATGTGATTATACTGCAGCCTTCATGATTTACGTTCATCTCTGTAGTTCATGGAGGCGATATAGAAAACTTTTGACTATAAAGGAAAATTTTGCATTCATAACAGTAGAAAGGTCATTGTAGACATTCAGTATATTTATATAGGTTACTGGGACAGACTGGTTAAATTTCAGGTTTAGATCCAGGTTCTATTTCTTTTAAAGCAGGGGTATATATAGATGTTCTCAAAGTATTTTCTATTGTAGAGCCTCTTCATCTTTTAATAATATTTACATTGAGAATTTTGAGGGAGAGGTGGGGGGGGGGGGGGAATCTGACTCTAAATATCTTTGAGGTTGGGTATACAAATTTTGTGTACTTTAATGGTACAGATTTCTGATGTTTGATATTTATTAGTTAATTGATGTACTGATTAAATCTTGCTTCTATTGCAGATAAATGTGTTTTTTACTGTGCTGATTTGACATGTTTGACGTCGGAGAAACTCCTTTGTGACAAAGTCTTCAACTGTGCAGACCAGTCCGATGAATCCAACTGTCCAAGCCTACCCCTTCAATCTGACGGTGCTTATCAATGTAAGTCCCCACCAAACAAATCAGGTGCCTGATACTTCTTTTGCTTGACGGTACTTCTTTTAGTAAATGTGAGCACTTGAACCATCAAAAAAGAAATCTTACAGTAGTGTAAAATACAAATTTTCCTTGTCCTATAGCAAGAATTAACTCTACCTGTCTCTGTCCTGTAGTGTAAACTTCCACCCTTGTCTGTTCCATAGTGTCATTAACTTCCATTCTTGTCTGTCCGGTAGTGTAAACTTCCCCCCTTGTCTGTCCGGTAGTGTAAACTTCCACCCTTGTCTGTCCGGTAGTGTAAATTTCCACCCTTGTCTGTACTGGAGTGTAAACTTCCACCCTTGTCTGTCTGGTAGTGTAAACTTCCACCCTTGTCTGTCTGGTGGTGTAAACTTCTACCCTTGTGTGTCTGGTAGTGTAAACTTCCACCCTTGTCTGTCTGGTGGTGTAAACTTCCACCCTTGTCTGTCTGGTAGTGTAAACTTCCACCCTTGTCTGTCTGGTAGTGTAAACTTCCACCCTTGTCTGTATGGTAGTGTAAACTTCCATCCTTGTCTGTCTGGTGGTGTAAACTTCCACCCTTGTCTGTATGGTAGTGTAAACTTCCATCCTTGTCTGTCATCTAGTGTTGACTTCTACCCTTGCCTTTCCAGTAGTATAAACTTCTGTGTGCAATCGTATCTTGTGAACTCTCTCAACAGATTTTGTTCATATCTATATGGTAGTATCCTAACATAGTGTTACTCTGGGTCAGGTGCTGGTGTGCATAACATTGGGGACATTTTAGACAATTCTTATTGCTGCTATTTCTTGAGGACTTCCTGGATCTTTCCCAAATTTCATACAGATATTTCCCTTGGTGTTTAGTTGTGCCACAAATGATTTTTCAGACTGCTGATGGAACAAGCAAAATGACCGATAAATGGCCATCTTAGATTTAAACAAGGAAATATTGATATTGATATTTCTTGAAAAAATGTTGGATGGATCATTCTAAAATTTTATTGGTGGATTCCAGTTGTTCCCTAGTTGTGTCCTTGTGATTTTGGGATTGCTCAACAAAGCAAATTGGCTGAAAGATGGCCATCTTGGATTTTAACAATGAAAGTTTGTTATTGCTGTTTCTTTAGAAAATACTAGATGGTCTCTTGTTGTGCCAATCAATTTGGGGAGTGATCAAATATAAGAATAGCCGATTGGTGGCCATCTTGGATTCTACTGTTAAATATTATTTTTGCAATTCTTAAGAAGAATTGTCAAACTTCCTATAATAAGACCATATAAGAAAAAATAGAAGAGAATAGAAGGGAAACTTTTGTTTTAAAGAACAAATTAATATCAAGCAATGGTGGGCATCTAGGTCTCTATGAGTTCTCTTGCTTTAATTCTTAATGTGAAGTCAAAATAGAGAGGTGGTTTAGATATATATTGAGGTAAAGGTTACGTGAGTCAACAGTTAAGAACTTACTTAAGGTTTTCTGCTGCCACAAAAGGTTACAACAGTGATCATGATATTGGTCATCAATGACATATCATTTCTCCATATATTTAGTTCCATGGGGATAACTTGAATTTCACTTTTCTTGTTGAAACTCAAACTGAAGATTTCTTTTCTAAAAAGTATGGGATTGATTATCAGGTCTGTGAATCAGACATCACTGTTACTTCAGACATCAGTGTCTACTCAATAAGACAAGTTCTCATGAGTTGATCAAACACAAACTTCATGCAGTTCTTCTTTACTTGAATAGCTTGTGTGAGATTGCTTTTCAAGTGTTAAAGTAAAATAACAAGGTTTTTAATATTTCTTAAATGCAAAAGTGTGAATTCTTTCATTCTGCAGTGACCTTGAGAGGTATCACATCCTTCAGTTACTTCTTTGGAAACTGGATTTCCTTTATTGTGTTATCATATCTATAAGACAGCAAGTCAATACCTGGTTGTAATCCGACCCATATTTATTGCTGTTCATCAGAATTACAAGCATGTAATTTCATTGTCTTGTAATAAGTCCACAACTCTTGACTTTAAAAACAAGAATATTTATAACACGTGAATGCAATCATAATCCAAACTTGTTCAATAAAAATAGGGCAAAATATGAGCAAAAGAAAGATTTACACAGAGACGCATGAAAAAGTACAAAGAAATTTAAGACCATGTAAGCGTCTTCGGCTTCATCAACAACAGCAGTCAGGATAAAATTAAAACAAAGAAAAAGTCTTTGTATTCCTGCACAGCTGATCGTGTATAAAGTGACTTGAAGTCAATGTCTTCATCATTGTCTTTTGATAAGCTGGTCATTTAAATCATTCTGTCAAACTGTCCCTTTCTACTGCTAGACTCTGTGAACAATTCTTCAGCGACAGAAATATGAAATAATCATTTCCTAATAGTTATATCCAAGACAATATGAGAATGTTTCTTCAGACTTATCATATGTATAAACAACCGGAATGTTTGAGTTTTATAGTTGTATGGTTGAGGCCATGATGGGTGAAACTAATTCTAGAGAATCCTTGTCAGTGTTTTCAAGCACATTGATTCATTTCGTAAGAGATTTTGATCAAATATCCCACACTTTAAAAGGACCAGACAAGTTGAAGTTTCAGGGTTGTAAGGTCAGACTAATTTTTAGGCCATCATTACTGATTAAAGGAAATCTTTATCAGCTCTATAGTGACTTTATTCCTTGAAAGATTTTGATCAAGCTTTACTTTAACGAAGGACCATGATGTTGGGGACAATGCTTTAGTGGACATTGTTTGAGTTACAGGGTCATAGGGTCAAGGTGATTATTACTTTTTTAAAGAAAGTCGTTGTTGGCGGCTTCATTTCTTGAGAGATTTTGATCAAACTTCAGGCAATGCTTTCTTTTTTTCCGTCTTAAGTCAAGATGGATCTTGGAGGGGATTTGTGTCATTTGCAATGCCTTGTTACTGGAGGGTAGAGACTGATTAGGAACACTCTTTGTTAACACCAAAAACTGATATGGGTTGTATTCAGGTGTTATGAATCTGATGAAGAAAAGAGAACCATGCAGTCTTTTTTGTCAAAAATCAATCATTTGGACAAGGTGTATGGAAGGGTCTATGGGAAAAAAAAGAAAGAAAGAAATGTAAGACAGGTGAACAGGAATTTTGAAGATAAGTGTAAAATATCAATGGCTGCAGACCATCTGATGTCAAGGGGTTTTGAGCACAGATAATAAGTAACACTGGAAGAATGATAAAAAGAGGCTTGGAATATTGATAACAAGGAGCATGAAGAGTGATAGTAGAGTACCACTATATCTTAAACGTTAATTGGTCTGAACATTGTAATCTGGCCAAAAGCTTTTAAGATGTGAAGTTGTAGAAAGCAAGATTTTTTTTCCATGTCAAAGAAGTGCTCGGTCTGACAAGTGAATAATCAGCAGGATCGAGGGAAATATTTTCTAGTTGTATGCCTCGTAGACAACACAGTAACACAGGATTTCAACGTGCACTTTACCATTTAATTCTAATGTGGAACCTACATATATAGCTATTTTCTAGATATACAGAAATCATTTCTAACACAGAAAACGATATACTTTATTTACCTTTAGAAGTTATTAGATTGTTTTGTATGTTAGATGACACTCAGTGCTGCGTTAATTATGTAAGTATTTGTGTTTTATGAATGTAAGCTATACATAAACCTTGTAACTGTTATTGTGAGATTTCAATTATTTTCACTATTCCAATGTTGCATCTGAATCAATGTCATTTAGATGTCGCGAAAGGTAAGAAAAGTTGACCTTTTTCGTTATTTGACATAATACTGGATAATGATGGAAAAAGTGTTTTATTAAGTTTAAATTTGTCTTTTAGAAGAAGCAAATCATCAAGGAGTTGTCCAGTTTTAATTTCTGAAATATGACTCCATCAGTTTTCAATAAGATTCTCATACAATAAGGGTAAATTTTGAACTTAGTTCTTTCTTCATTACATCTTTCTTATACCTGTTTGACATTTCTTCATCACATCTTTATAACATCTGTTTGACATTTCTTCATCACATCTTTATAACACCTGCTAGACATTTTTTCATCACATCTTTATAACACCTGTTTGACATTTCTTCATCACATCTTTATAACACCTGCTAGACATTTTTTCATCACATCTTTATAACACCTGTTTGACATTTCTTCATCACATCTTTATAACACCTGTTTGACATTTCTTCATCACATCTTTATAACACCTGTTTGACATTTCTTCATTACATCTTTATAACACCTGTTTGACATTTCTTCATCACATCTTTATAACACCTGTTTGACATTTCTTCATTACATCTTTATAACACCTGTTTGACATTTCTTCATCACACCTTTTATTGTTTGACATTTCTTCATCACAACTTTATTACACCTGTTTGACAATAGTCTGCTTTGACTGCAGTTAACTTGGTTCATTCTCCAAGGAAGTACAAACATACCGTTAATGTCATTGCATTTTTTTGATCCCAATGCCTCACTCTCTTCCTAAATAAATATTACCATTCTCTTATGTTAAGAACCAGCAGTGCTGTGCTTTTTTTCTCCAAATTCAGATATTTCACTCTGCGAGGTTGGCAGCACTGCTAATAAAGTATATAAATATATTTACGGTGTTTAATAAAACTAGTAATAGCCACAAAAGATTTTGTTTTCAATTATCAAGATCATAGAATTATTTTTTAATCAGTTAAAATCATTTCTCTGTGATATACACCCAGAAGTTTTTAGGACCAAACTAAAATGATTGCAGTATGATATAATTCATTATAAAATTCCAAAAAAGCATGTGTGGTCATTGAACTGCCTAGAAAAGTAGAGTGGCATTTGACCTAGAAGAGTATGTTATTTTTTATCTGTCTGAACAGTTTGAATGTGCGAAGATCTTAGTTGCTGATGTGTCACTAATACGTCTTATGACAACCTGGGGAAATCAGTACAGCTCATGTGTTTTTATTGTCTAGAACATTGTAGATAA